TCCAAAACCGAATATCTGTGCTGTGATTTCGGCGGTCTTTCCAGTCCTGTACCCATGTCGTTGGATGGCGCTATACTGCCTACCTGCTCAGAATTCAAGTACCTCGGTTCCCTCATTCAAGGCGACGGCGGAATAGATAGAGCTGTGCAGCATAGGATTAACGCAGGGTGGATGAAATGGCGACAGGTCACAGCCACAACGTGCGATCCCCGAATGCCAATAAGGCTGAAGGGGAAAATTTACAAATCGATCATCCGACCTGTCGTCATGTATGGAAGTGAATGCTGGGCCGTCAAGAAGAAGGATGAAAATAGACTGCATGCGAATGAAATGAGAATGTTACGATGGATGTGTGGTGTGACAAGGATGGATAAGATAAGGAATGAGTATATAAGAGGAAGCCTGAAAGTAGCGCCAGTGGTAGAAAAGGTGAGAGGAAGCAGATTGGCATGGTTTGGGCATGTGATGCGGAGGGATGAAAGTCATGTCACAAAACGAGTGTTGAATATGAATGTGGAGGGACACACGGGCAGAGGAAGGCCGAATAAAAGATGGATCGATTGTGTGAAGAGTGATATGAGAATGAAAGGAGTAAGTATGGAAATGACGGCTGATAGAGAGGAATGGAACAAGAAGATTTACTGCGCCGACCCCAGATAATGGGAAATGGTTTAGAGAATGAGATATATATATAATGTTATTTCACATTTTATTTGGAGGTGGATACGACTTGGTTTCAACTATCGAGGCCCGAATGTCTTCAATTATAATAGCTGCTGCAGCTTCGACAATCCTCAATCTTTCTTCTTCTGGAGTACTTTCTCTATTTTCGTACCAATTTTTGATAAAATATTGGTGTGTGTGTCACGAAAAGATATAATTGTAAACGATCATACTTTTTTAGTAATTACGATATCCGTTAAGTATTTTTGTTAAAGTCTTGCTAAGATAGTCTTGTCATCTGATACATACTCCGTAAGAACTTCCTTGAGCTCTTTTAATGTAAATTGCGAATCTTCATGATTTTCTATGTAACAAAAAATCTCTTTCATTGCTTGAGTAACTTAATTTTCTTTACGAGGCTTATTCTCAGTAGATGGTGTTCGATTTAAAAATTGAGTATAGCAAACGGTATGGTATTTTGCTAAACTTCTGCTTCTCTACTAATTCTCTTAAGGAATCCTTTCGTTCTTCTGCTCTTTTGATGACATTGTCTTTGAATTCCAGAGTACTTACGTTACTGATTGTTCGTCGATAATTTTCTTTTTTCCTTAACTCTGCTGCTACGTCAGCTGTTTGGCCACTTAATAAACACTGTTTTAAAATCAAACACCTCATTTCTTTTTTTACGAGGTACACTGGATGATGGTAAAGGTTCACCTTCCTCTAGTCGTTGTTTAGATGCTGATATAGAATTTTTACTGATGTATACTTTCCGACACTCGACATGCACATTCACAGAGGTTAAAGTATTTAAGAAGTCTATATGACCATCATTTCTTTCGATACTTGCAGTTTTTAAAATTTTCAAGCCACGCACTACATTAATAGAATCACCTTCAGTTAGAGACTTCTCACAAATAAAACAGAAATCAGCCATAATTATGAAAATTGTATGTCCGTCGTTGCTCAGATCTTATAACCAACTAAAAAATTCAGTTAATAGAAAGTAGTACCTTGAAAAATAAATCAGTCTCCACATAACAACTGAACATCTGCCACGTGAACTATGGAGGGGTCCGCGTTCGCAGGTATAGACATCATAAAAAAGGTCGCCTTATAGGTCCGCCCTCCCAGTTATAATCTCAATAGAAAAATAAGACTACACATTTTAAACTTTAAAATCTAAAGAGCAAATACTTAATAATTTTTTCTATATATATATATATATATATATATATATATATATATATATATATATATATATATATATATATATATATATATATATATGTCTCTATATGTATATATAAAACCATCATTTAATACAATGTATTACCAGTATACCAATGTTTCACCGAAATTCACGGTTGACCTTGTATTACAGTATATATGCCAGAGCGCTGGGTGCTCTCCGCCCTCTATCCCGAAAAGAAAAAAGTTGTGGCAAATTTTTTTTATCTTTAATTTTCATAATAGGTGTTGAAGTGATTGGAACCATAGAAACGGAGATAATTACAAAAAAAAACCGATTATCGTGACCTTTGACCTCGAATAACTTACGACGCAGACACGAGATAATATGAGACTTTTAAGACAACTTTTAGAACGCCAAAATGAAGCTGTACACCAGTTTCCAGCTTATTACTTCAAATTCCGAGACTTACCCCTTTTTTCCCTAAAGTGACTGGACTACTTGGCGGTCCACCACTGTGCGTTTTAATAGTTTTCTTCCTCGTACAAATTCTCTGTCAAATTGTTTACCACAGACGATTTTTCCGGACCGATACCTTTAAGAAAACAGCTTCCTCCTTTCTAAAAGGCCGGTAACACACATGCAATTCCCCCTGGTGTTGCGGTTGTTCATGGGCGGCGGTAGTCACGTATCAGGTGAGCCGCATGCTCGTTTGCCCCCTCTTCTATAAAAAAAATATATCACGCAGAGAAAGAGCTGAGCGACCTTGAGCGTTTTTTTTTATAGAAGAGGGAGAAAACTAGCATACGGTTCATCTGATATTAAGTGACTACCGCCGCCCATGAACATTCGCAACACCAGGGGAATCGCAGACGCGTTGGCGGCCCTTTAGAAAGGAGTAAGCTCTTTTCTTGAAGGTACTCGGAGACGTTTTCCCGAGAAATATTGGCACGGCCGGTGTAAAGAGCATCACCAGTGCTGTCATCTGCATAGCAATGATATGCAGAAGAAACAGCGTTGGCGATAGCACGCAGCCTTGTGGAACACCAGCATTAATAGGCTTGTAATCGGAGCTTTCACCGTCTACTACGACCTTAATGCTCCGAACAGCTAGGAAACTGGTGATCCAATTGCACAATTTCTCGGGAAGCACATAGGAAGGGAGCTTCGAAAGAAGCGTTTTGTGCCAAACCCGATCGAAGGCCTTCGCTATGTCCAAACTAACGGCCAATGCCTCCCCCTTGGACTCTACTGCCCGAGCCCATCTATGAGTTAGGTAGACCAGAAGATCACCACGACCACGACCACGATGGAAACCGTATTGGCGAACACTAATCAGCTGGTGATCCTCAAGGTACCTCATGAGCTGGCAGTTTACAAAGGACTCCATTGTTTTGGAGAACAAGGAGGTGATGGCGATAGGCCGGTAGTTTGACGGGTCTGAGCGGTCGCCTTTTTTAGGGATCGGGTGGACGAAAGCCGTCTTCCACGATTTTGGGACTACGCCTATGGAGTAGGAGTACCGGAAAAGATGCGTTAAAACCAACCATGGAGCACACGTCCTCAGCACAATTGGGGGAGTTCCGTCAGGCCCACTCGACTTGTGGATGTCCAGGGAGAGGAGTGCTTTGCGAACCGAGCGCTGTGTGAAATGCACTTCCGGCATGGAGCACTCACACCGCGGGATGGTCGGAGGCTCCCCCCTTTATCGAGAGTCGAGTTGGACGCAAAGAAAGAGCCTAGCAGATCGGCTTTCTCCTTTGCGGTATGGGCCAGTGAGTCGTCCTCCCTGTGCAGAAATGAAAGAGATGGCTGACAGAAATTCCCCTGGACAGCCTTGGCGAGAGACCAGAATGCACGGGTTCCAGAAAGAAGGCGAACTAGTTTTTCGCCAATTCTGCCTATGTGCTCTGACTTTGTCTTGGCAATGACTCTTGAAGGACCTAAAGGCGGAATTATACTTCTTTTTTAGAGTACTGGTGTTTACATCCCGGGACGTAGATACGTCAGCCCAGGCTTGGTAGCACTGCTGCTTATATCATGATGCTATTTTACAGGAGCGACCAAACCATGGCTGAGATTTGCCTCCAATGGGCACCACAGAGGAAGGAATAAAAAGTTCCATACCCTGAAGTACCACATCAGCGACAGATTCCGCAACAACGTTGGAATCGTCCGGCGAGAAGCAAACCTGCCCCCAAGGGTAGGATGCAAAGAAAGACCATGCAAAGAGTTCCTAAACACGGCGGCAGCCTGCAGAATGCTACTGCGATTTCAGCGTGAGTGGCACCACACTCCGGACAAGACACTGGTCCGAGGAGCCTAAAGGGGCGTCAACGGAAATCTGATATTCGTCCGGGTGAGAGGTCAGCAGAAGGTCCAACAGGGAAGGTGCATGATCCTCCACATCTGGAATCCTCGTAGGCGAGGTAACCAGTTGTGTCAGACCATATGCCAAGGCAAAATCATGAACAGATCTCCCCGCATGATCGGTTAAACATGAACCAAGCCATTCGGCGTGATGGGCGTTAAAGTCGCCGAGGATCACGATCTCTGCGGAGGGGATCTGCTGTAGCAACGAATCTGTAGCCGTTTGGACGTGGTCGAAGAGTCGGTCTGTTTCGGCATTACCGCTATGGGACCTATAGAGGCACCCGTAGACGCGCGGATGGTCGTCACTGTCTACGCGTAGCCAAAGGATGGACAGGTCCGAACCTTCAAGACTGCCGAGGCGTCGAGAACAGATGTCCTCTCTGACGTAAACGCAAGCTCCAGCCCGAGGCACAAAGGAGTGTTCCAGTTTGTACCCCGGGTAGGAGAGATACGAGACATCAGCCGGAGAGGACACCTGCGTCTCGGTCAGAAAGAGCAGAGCCGGCCTCGCCGTCTTGAGATGGTAGTGGACGGCGTTTAGGTTAGAGTGAAGTCCCCTGATATTGCAGAAATTCACGGATAGCGTGGCAGGGGTCGCCTTGGTCTTGTTGCTCCGTTTGCTCTGAGCAGTTTTAGTCTTGAGCGGAATTTTGCAATTCCTTAATATTATATATTTTATCTAACATTATTTAATAAAAAACTGTTATAGGGGTGAATATTGTTTCTACATATTTGAGCACGAAACTAAAGGTTTTAACAATTTATAATTTACCTTATAACATTGTGGTGCTGAGGCACAAAATCAAAACAAACATAATCTTTCTGACACCCATCAACTGTGAGACGGGCCATCATCACCCTGCTGTCCCTTTGCTCCCTGGAAATATAAAAATTATTACTATACAAACAGTACTGTACTGTTACAGAGTAGGTACATGCATCTACCATATGGTGAAGAAGTAATAGAATTCTATGTTCCATTTCATCCCATGGATGTAGTAAGAAGTATATGGGAAAGGCACTGGGCCTCATGATCTATAATAGATAACATTATACCATCTTGTATATGTAAAATACAAAGCACATAGTCCAACAAAGAGAGAAGCGTCAAAAGTATGAGATCACCAGTACTGCAATCGTCAATCTGCTACCAAGCATAGCGAATAACAGATTATGAAAATCACAAACGATTAGTGGGACGCTCAGAAGAGGACTATTAAAAGGAGGTTTGTTCATCAAACATATGAATGACAAATTACAATATCTGTATTTACCTTACAATATTATGACATAATATGATGTACGAAATTTAATGTCAAAGGTTCTGAATTTTCATTTTTTGTTTTTCTTTTTTAGTTGTGCAGACTACATTAATTTGTTGAATAATTTATTATGATGCAAATGGCTACCTGCAAACGTAAATTGTGCGTCTGTATCGTCCCTCATCCGGATAGTAAGTCTCGATGATGTGCGTTTCGTTGATAAATACATCAGCATCAATATTGGCTGTATTAATCCAATCTCCTGAGAAGTTTTGAGGTAAACGACAACCCGGCTCAACTACTTCAGCCTGAAAACAAAATTAAAGTTATAATTACAGCCTATATATATATATATATATATACTATATATATAATTACTAACATTAGTTTGAAGTATATATTATTGTCTGAATAAATATTATATTACTATTAGTATTATATGCGTCCCAGTCAGCTGGGCACAGCCCTTGCCTCCTCTCACTTCTGAGAGGGTTTTGAAGGTAAGAAAGTGTTCGCCGCGGTCTTCCATGCATGCATGTTGGCGGACTTCACGTGCCTTTGAAATATTATTTCTTTATATCTCAGATATGCAGGTTTCCTCACGATAGTTTGCTTTACCGCCGAGCACGCGGTAAATCAGTACTTAAAATTGCAATTAACAATTTCATTGGCGCTAGCGGTGATCGAACCCGAGTTGCTCGCGTACTGTGAAATTTACAGCAAACCCCTGAGCTACCACGCCTCTCATACAAAATTACGAAATACAAATTTAATTCTACTTACTTTTATTATCTTTAATAAGAGCGGCATGAGCCCTCTTAAGAAATTATTGTAAGATTGTGAAAAATATTAAAATAAATATAAGTATGCTTAAATTTAATTCACTATCATCATTACAGCCCTTCAAAACTCCACTGTTGAACATAGGCCTCCTTCAAAAAACACCTCTAAGCACGGTCCCGAGCCACTTGCATCCATTGACTAACTGCATGTCTTACCAGGTCGTCAATCCATCTAGTGGCGGGGGGGCTTAATTTAAATGATAATAACACTAATTCTGTATTATTATTTGCTTTGGATGACTAGGAAACTACTTTTATGTTCAAAAACAAAATTATAGTACATTTTGTTTTATTTTTGATTAATATAAAATTATTAAAAAATTATGCATTTATGAAATATCTAATAGAAACAATAAGTATGAGAAAGAAGCTGTCTTTGAGCTATCCTTGATTCAGTGTTACAGTCCCGCAATTTTTACGCAAATGGTTTTCTACATCCTGCACTCGTTATATCCTGCTCTATAAAACTTACCATTTGGTACTGTGCTAAATGTATTGATGATATCAGAAAAAAAACTGTCCAAAATAAAAAAATTGTTTTCTTATATTTACGCGAACGCTACACATTGAAATAATACTAGTTTTTACGGAATTTATCGCGTATATTTAACTTTTTAAATACCCGACGTTTCGAACGCTTTACAGCACTCATGGTCACGGGCGGGACTGAGGTGTTCAACGTCCATATGTCATAGTTAACCGCGTTTACCATAGATTAAAATTTAACTTTTGTTCCGATCTATGCAGTATGAACTTATGGTATCTTGAAGTCTTGCAGTTGTATGCTTGGGTTGGGATTTAATTTTATTGTTCAATAAAAACCCGCGTTAAAGAACATATAGCTGATGTGAAGAATCGGCGCTCCGGGAAGTCTGCAGTCTGTGAACACGTACAGGATCGCCCCCGTCACTACATCAGATTTGATAGACCGCAAATCCTCGCTAAAGAACACCGATTCCTTCCAAGGATGATTCGCGAGGCTATTGAAATCAAAAAACATCCTAATTTCAATAGAGAAGATGGCTGGGTGCTACCATCTGCTTGGGATCCTATAATAAATAAAATTAAATCCCAACCCAAGCATACAACTGCAAGACTTCAAGATACCATAAGTTCATACTGCATAGATCGGAACAAAAGTTAAAATTTTAATCTATGGTAACCGCGGTTAACTATGACATATGGACGTTGAACACCTCAGTCCCGCCCGTGACCATGAGTGCTGTAAAGCGTTCGAAACGTCGGGTATTTAAAAAGTTAAATATACGCGATAAATTCCGTAAAAACTAGTATTATTTCAATAAAAAAATTGTAATTCAACTTAAATTTAAACTGTAAAAACTTTAATGACATATATTATTGTAACATTTTACCTTTACTGGGGTAATTCGATATCTTTCAGGAGATTTTTCAACAGTCTTCAATGTGTTGCACTGAGGGGTAATTGAAGCACCAATATACAAATCATCATCTCTGTTCTTCAGAAAGCAGCGGTACTTCTCATCTTTCCGAGATTCTTTGGTGTTGGCCACAGCAAAGAAATGATTCTTATCCACAAACCAATGTCCTGAAAACCATCAACAAATTATTTGTATCGATTTACATAATAATAATTGCATACCGGTACCATTCCATCCTAACAAAAGTCATTACATTAATTTAATTTATTTTTATTATCTCGACGTTTCGGGTGCTTTACAGCACCCATGGTCACGGGGGGGTTTCACACATCACTGAGATGTTTGACGTACCAATGGTAGTGATAGTGTTCGCGTAAATTTAATAAATTATTAAGATATATTTTGTACAAAGTTAAACTGATTTCTACATAAATACTGCCGAGCATAGGCCTCACCTAAAGATTCATAGATCCACTGCCTCAGGGTTGTTAGTAAGAAGACGCTACTGCCCATCTCCTGAGTTGTTTCCCTCTATTGCCTCTTACAATATCCACGAGAGGATATGAACATTTCCTTCCCTAAATTCTCTAACCAAGGTACACTGAAACACAAGGCCTGCTCCCCCTACACTGCTTTCATCTTAACCAGTTAACAGTGGTAAGGCCACGCGGCAGCCTTTGCTGTTGTACGAATGGGCTGGTTCAAACTGGGGTGGTACCACAAACTCACAGAATATCAGCATGAAGTGGAGGTTTACCTTTGCGTTTCATTTGGTAAATGCAGGTAGCCGGAGGCCTAAAACATGGTAGCGAAATCAAGTAAAAGACTACCCCAGGAGGGTACCAGCACCGTTGTTGACGAAAAATCTCTCGCTGAGCATCCACAACAACGTTATTCTATTCTTCTTGAGCGTGGTGGTCAGGCTGCCCCGCCTTGCTTTTTTTAACCGAGACTCAGGTGTCCTCTCCTGCTGATACTTCATATCTCTTCTACCCGGGGTATAAATTACAACACTGCTTTGTACCCCGGGCTGGAGTTTACGTATACGTCAGAGAGGACATCTGTTTTCCACGCCTCGGCAGTCTTGAAGGAACGTCCATCCTACCTACGGCTGCGGGTCAACAGCGACGACCATTCCCGTCTACGGGTGTCTTTATAGGTCCCATAGCAGCAGTATGCCGAAACAGACTACTCATCGACCACGTCCAAATGGCTGCAAATTCCTTACTACAGTAGATCCCATACGCAGCGATCGTGATCCTTGGCGATTTTAACGCCCACCAGGCCGAATGGCTCGGTTCACGTTTAACCGATCATGGGGGAAATCTGTTTATGATGTTGCTTTGGCATACGGTCTAACACAGCTAGTTACTTCGTCTACGCGGATTCCAGACGTAGAGGATCATGTACCATCCCTGCTGGACCTTCTGCCGACTTCTCATTCGGGCGGATATCAGGATTTCGTCAACGCCCCTCTAAGCTCGACGGACCATTGTCTTTTCCGGAGTGTGGTGCCACTCACACTTACGTCGCAGTTGCATTCTGCGCCGTGTTTGGCACTATATGTCGATCGTTTGGGTTAGGATGCGGCCTTTTTTTGTATCCTGCCCTTGGGGGCAAGTTAGCTTCTCGCTGCACGTTCCCAGCGTTGTTGCTGATCCTGTCGCTGATGTAGTCTTCAGGGTACGAAACTTTTTATTCCACCCTCTGTGGTGCCCATCGGAAGTAGATCCCAGCCATGGTTTGGTCGTTCCTGTAAAATAGAATAACGCTATAAGCAGGAGTGCCACCGGGCCTCCAAAGAGTCATTGCCAAGGCACGGTCTGAGCACTTCGACAGAATGGGCGAGAAGCTAGTTCGCCTTCCTTTAGGAACCCGTACAGTCTGGTCTCTCGCCAAAGTTGTCCAATGGAACTTCTGTCAGCCATCTCTTCCATCTCTGCACAGACAGGACAACTCACTGGCCTAAGCCGCAAAGGAGAAAGCCGATCCGTTAGGCTCTCTTTTTGCGTCCAACTCGACTCTCGATAACGGAAGGAACACACCGCCGATCATCCTGCGGTGTTAGTGCTCCATGTCGGAAGTGCGGTTTCCACAGCCCTCAGTTCGCAACGCACTCCTCTCCCTGGACGTCAGCAAGTCGAGTGGGCCAGATGGTGACCCTACCGTTGTGCTGAAGACGTGTGCTCCAGAGTTGGCACCGGTTTAAACGCGTCCTTTCCGGTACTCCTACTCCTACTCCTCCCAAGGCGTAGTCCCGAATTTATGGAAGACAGCTTTGGTGCACCCGATCCCTAAAAAGGCGACCGCTCAGACCGGTCAAACTACAGGCCTATCGCCATCACCTTGAGGATCGCCAGCTGATTAGTGACCGCCAATACGGTTTTCGTTGTGGTCGATCAGCTGGTGATCTTTTAGTCTACTTTAATCATAGATGGGCGGAGGCAGTAAAGTCCAAGTCCTTCGATCGGGTCTGGCACAAAGCGCTTCTTTCTAAGCTTCCTTCCTATGGGCTTCCCGTGAAATTGTGCAATTGGATCATCAGTTTCCTAGCTGATCGGAGCATTAAGGTAGCCTATTAACGCTGGTGTTCCACAAGGCTACATGCTATCACCAACGCTATTTCTTCTGCATATCAATTATATGTTGCAAACCGTTAACATTTATTGCTATGCAGACGGCAGCACTGGTGATGGTTTGTAACACCGGCCGTGTCAATATTTCTCGGGAAAACGTCGCCGAGTACTGGGACAAACTCGTGTCTGCAGTCGAGTTTTTGCTGAACAAAATATCGGATTGTGGGCGACTAAATCTAGTTCCATCTCCAAAAGACACAAGTTTGCGCGTTTACCGCTAAAAAGAACGTTTTTGTCCTTTGTCGAATCTCCTCAGTTTCAAGGTACTCCCCTTGCTGCCTCAGATAGCATCAAAATCCTCTGCGTCGACATATAGAATATTGTGCAGTTTAGTGGTCACTTGGAAGGTAAGGCCAAATTGGCCTCTTAAAAGTTTGGCGTGCTCAGCAGAGCGAGACAGTATTTCATGCCGACACATCGCTAGCAACTTTACAAAGCGCAAGTTCGGCCTGGACATGGAATACTGTTCTCATCTCTGGGCCGGGGCACCCCAGTGCCAGCTCCTTCCACTTGACCGCATCCAGCGCAGAACGGTTCGAATTTTCGTCAACCGAGTTCTTTCTGATCCGTTCGATTCACTGGCGCCCGTAGGAATGTTGCATCCCTTTGCATTTCATATCACATCTACCACGGAGAGTGCTCCGATGAATTGTTCAGATTAATTCCAGCGTCCAAATTTCACGAACGAAATCGCGTCAAAATTCAAGATACCATCCTCATTCCTCACCATCTGATGCTTGGCGGTCCACCACTGTGCGTTTACTAGGAGTTTTGTTCCTCATACAACTTCTTTGTGGAATTGTTCACCACCGGCAATTTTCCGGACCGATACGACTTAGGGAGATTCAAGAAAAGAGCGTACTTCTTTCTAAAAGGCCAGCAACGCACCTGCAATTCCCCTGGTGTTGGGGTAGCCACTTAACATCAGGTGAGCCGCATGCTCGTTGCCCGCTCTTCTATAAACCTATCTAATGGATTCTTTCACCATATTGCGGTCATAAGGCCAGAAAAACTTGAACTCGACCTTTCCAGTCTCGCGTTTTGTACATGGCAATTTGGGAGAGCGGCAAAACGCCCACTACCCCGATGGGCGTAGTGGGGGTTTTGCCTTTTCCAATATATGCGTAAATGACAATTATTATAAAATTTGTTATTTTTTATTACTAGCCTCCCGTCTCGTTATTTAGATTTAAGATCTAATTTATTTTATCAATTTTTCAATAACTCGAAAGAAAGGTCTCCAAGAGTTTCGGACAAAACTCTCTATCTGTTTGTAACGTTTCATTACAATTGGTTCTGCCATTTCGAAGATTAGCCTGGATAGACAAATAAAACTCGAAACAGACAAAAATTTTGAAATATTCACTCGTTTTAATGGTATGCAAATGAATATATATTATTACTTATTTGAAGTTCCCGTCATAATAATAAATTATATGTCTCTTTTCATAAATACTTGATTTTTTTTGTTAAATTTTCTCTGCAGTATATATTTGAATATCTTAAATTAAAATTATTGTACATATACAACATGTAACATAATTAACGCACTTTGAGAAAGTAGTTTGTTCAGAATCGTTTACTGAATGATTCCTATCATTTTTAATATAGGTAATTTTTTATCCCAAAAATAACTAAAACTACGTAAATTACAGTCACACTAAATCTTTACAGTCAAAACAAACTGAAATGGACCTTAACTTAAGGCAATAAGACTTTTAAGAGTGTAGTTTCAATTGTATTATTACTAATTCTGTCATTCAATAAAAATAAAGAAAAATGAACTTTATTTCAAGAATGTTAAAGTCTTTGCGTTCGTGGATTTGTACTGTGACCACAACATTTTTCCGGAATTAGTATAACTAATTTGATAAATAATCAGTGCATAAAAATGTTTAACTAAAAATTCAGTGTATGTATTATAATTATAACATAATATACTAATTGGGGTGTCTGAGGGTGTGCGTTAATTACGTTACATATTGTATATGTATGTGTGTATACATATATATATATATATATATTGTAAATATATATACATATATTTACAATCATTAAATATTATATATATTATTAATATATCGTATATATTATTAATATATTTTTATAAATATTATTTTTAATAATATCTATTATCTGTTTATTTCATATTGCATGTTGAACCTATCCGTCAAAATATCGAATTATAATGTCCTTTTATGTTATGTGTGTATATACAACCAGTGTCCCAAAATTCAACGATAAGCCAACACCGGAGGATAGACCTGCCCCGGACTAATCGGGGAAAAAAAGAAAAAATATATATCCCAATTATATTTAAAGTTATATAAAAAAAATGAAATTCTTCAGAAATTGAGACCGTTTATGATATTTTTCACTACCATGACAATTTTTTTAATATTTTTTTCTTTTTTTTTTATAGGCAACCTGAATAGTACTGCTATCTACCACAATTCTTAAAAACTCCAGAATAACTCTTGTTTTATCACGAAAATTAATGAAACTTATTTTATTCCCTAAATTTTTTGAAGACTTTTACTTTTAACCAAATTTAACTTATCGTGGTGTAAAAAAAAGTATGAACACTAGTCTGGCAAGTTTTTTTAAAAATTGACGCAACTAACCAACATTCCAAAATGGTATAATACTCTAGGAAAACAAGTTATAAAAAAATATGGGACCGTTTGTAGTTATAAGTTTTCCGTTATTGTAATATATAAGTTATTGTACTGAATTGAAGGAGTTGCTTAGCTGTGTGCAATTTCACTTTTGGGCTAAGAACATAGTTTTCCAAATGAGTGTTACATTTGCACATTATGGTTCCACAATCAGGATGTACACAGGTGTTTCTTCCGTTAAGGAACAGAATCGACACGTCCTTGAATTACTTAGTCCTAAAATGGACATGTGCTTGTTTAGACAACAGTGGCTAGTCCGGGCTCTTGCCAAAATACGCAGTTTATTCTTACTTAATCCAAGGACATATGAAGCGAATTTCTTATCATAAGCTCAGATTAATGTTTTAGAATTTTTTAAGCCTGTTGTATCAGACCAGATCTTATGTGATTTATTGTGATAAAGAGTTTCAAGGGTCAATCGGGCCAGACATGTTGAGATTTCACAAAATAGCTCTCTAACCAAATTGTGTACTCTTCGAACCCTCCCGTGCGAACTTGTCGGCAAGTTCATTGCCTAGCAATACCCGCATGAACCAGAACCCTTCTCAAAATAACCCTGTAACTAAACTCCATAGTTTAAATGGTTCAGTCTCCAACTAGCTTTGAGGTCATTAAGTTAAACTTCAGTGCTAGCAGTGCTGCTTGACTGAGTTTATTTAAATATTGCGGTTGAAATTGTATTTTTGCAGGTAATAGATATTTTTATTTAAAGATACGAAATAGAAAATAAATATTTACAGAGTACTACATACTACATATTTGCATAGCTATCATCATCATTATCATTACAAGTCCACTGCTGAACATAGGCCTCCCCCAAGTAATACCACAAAGCACGGTCCTGAGCCACCTGCATCCATCGACTTCCTGCATGTCTTACCAGGTCGTCAAGTGGGGGGTCGCCCTACACTACGCCTACCGGTAAGAGGCTGCCACTCGAGAACCTTTCATCCCCATCGGTTATCGGTTCTTCGAGCTATATGGCCGGCCCATTGCCACTTCAGCTTACTAATCCGTTGGGTTATGTGAGTCTGAGTCTATCACGCAGAGAAACTCCGAGCATAGCCCTCTCCATAGCTCGCTCAGCGACCTTGAGCGTCCTCATACGGTCAGCAGTGAAGGACCACGTCTCAGATCCGTAAGTTATCACATTTGCAAAGGTATGTATAGGTCGTGCCACGTAAGATGAAATTAAATAGTCCACTGCGCATGTACAATCGAGCAGAAAAATGAAAATTTTATTATGGCATTTTAATATGTAAAAAGTCAAAGATCAACATTATAACTACACATCAAAGTCTCCACGAAAACTGAACGATATATTTAAATATCATCGTAGGGTTTAAAACTGCTTCTAATTAATATTCTGCATTTTATGTACACTTAGTTAAAGAAATAAAATATTTTGTATTTGTATTTTTGTACTTATTATTGCTGTTTAAACTATACTATGTGATAGCCTTCGATTATAAGGATATTTTACATGCAATAATTTGCAAAAAAAAATATCTTGTAGAAAATAACAAAATATTTACAACTTTATACAATATACTAAGAACTACGCTATTTTAAATAGTCCCAAAATAATTTATAAAGTAATAAACATTTGCACACTATTTGAAAATATTATAGAACAATATTTTTAAAAGTACAAAATAATCGCAAAAATTTAAAATTTTATAACAGGTAGTCGCTAACACTTTCGATATCGATAGTACACAAGACGACACAAGAAGGTGCGCGGGCGACGGGACGCAGGAAGAAACTACTTGGGAGTAGCGCGTCGCCCGTTGCTATGGTTTCGCTTCCCCGTACTTCACACCTCACCGTGCCGGCACCTATTTTTCGGTTCTGTTCTCACTTCCATGACTCGTGGCGTTACCTATACACTATTTATGCACTGTATTTCAATATGGATGACAAGCCTTAACAAAATATTTAAACCACTTACCCAGGCAACTAAACTCAACAACTCCTTCAAAGGTACCAGACATTCCAGGGCACTTTTTATATGTAATATTGAACTTCTGATTGGTGATCAAAAACTGTGTGCCGGCAGTTTGGCAAGATTTAATTTGTGCATCTGGATGATTACACTCTCCTGTGAAACGGAAACGATTCTGATATGCAAATTGCCATACACCCTCCAGAGATGAACGACAGTTAACCTGTAGATTAAAAAAGAAATATATAATATTTGTTTCAAATCAAAACTCGACATCAAGACAGCCAAATTGCCAAAATTGATACACTGTTCCTTTCACATTATCTCACTCATCAATCATGAATAAAAAAATATGTACGAAAATTTTAACCATGACCATCCTTACTGCCTTTACATAGTGATATCTATGGCATGATCTCATTGTTTGGTGAATTTAGAAATAGAAATTAAAATATTTAAAGTTTAAATTTTTAAGTTAATAGGATTAATGTTAACAAATTATTGTGATACAATTTAGATAAAAGGCTGTTAAATAGTAATAATATAATAACAATTATTAATTCAACTTACTGGCACTGAATTTTCTGAAAATAAAGTAATAAACTCTTTATCAGGATTCAAACCTCGACACACTCTTTCAATTGTTGGTTCTTCACCAGGAGCCACATCAACGCAAGTTGTTTCAATCTTTTCCAAAACATTGACTGTGCGAGCTATTAATTTTACACAGTAGTAACAGTTTGTATAACGAAAAACCATTGTATAATTTACATGATAGTCAGCTTTTATGTTTACACAAACCCCCCTGAAAATAAATTTCATTATTTATATGATATTTTAATCTATTGCAAAAAAAATTGTGTGATGGATTGTATTTATTTGTATGTCTATATTAAAGAAACAAAGAAAATGTTTCCATAATAAAGACATACAAACACTTAACATGCATATTGAACATCTTAAAACTAGATTTAACCAAAGTATAGAAAATGGATTAACACCTCCTATGAAAACAAAGATCCAATGATAGCTTCAATTGAAATACTATCAAAAAATTGAGAGGAGTATGGTAAATGGATTATATAGTGTACTGCAGGGGTGCGAAGTTAGGAAATTTGACTTTACAATATACAATTTATGTTTATAGATATAGATATGACACTTTCTTCTTATAGATGTTTTCAGTTTTCGATTGTTAAATTGTATTCACATTCGGATAAACAATTTTAACAAAAAAAAAATATGAGGGACACATAAGTATGGTCATTATTTCAATTCAACTTTATTAGTTTAGTGTGCTGGCACAAAGTCATGCCGCCCCCTGCCTTGCAAGGCCCCCGCCTTTGCTCTGCACAAGTACATTCGTTACACAACTATGAGACTCTTGAAACTGTAGTTATACTTATAAATTAAATTTTATATATGTATTAATTATTATTATTATTATAATCTTATAAAATAATACTCATGAATGAATGACAATTGGGTTTAGTCTAGTACCAATGAAATACACGTAAGAGATAAACATTTAGTGCAATTATTAATATAATGTGTATGTATAACATATACTAATCGCAATTTTTACGTACTTTGATAATAAGATCGGAAGTAGACCCACTAGATCTATAGTCAAGAAAGGATTACTTCCCATAATGATCTAATTTATGGGATAAAAGGTACATATATAAGAAGTTGAACTTTTATATGTGGTAGAGCCATGCTGCAGTTATATCAGCAGCATAGTAGTAGCACGAATGGGTCGGCACGACCGGGAAAGGACCACGCTCTTACAGAATACCAGCATAAAGTAGGAGCTTAATGCTGTTGTGTTTCGTATGGTGAGTGTAGAGAACCGAAAACCCTTTTTATTGAAAACGAGGCATTCCATCTTAGTCCTCATCCTCACGGGCGATAACGCATCTGCATTTTGATTTGTAATCTAAGACAGATGTAGATGTCTATGGGCCGCAGCAACTACTTACCAACAGATGGACTGTGTACTCGTTTGTCACCCTTCTACTATAAAAAAAAAACAGTTTTTATTACAAGCTATTTGTTCAGATAACAGAATGACTTAAAATGAAACCACAACACACACCAAAAAAATAAAGGTGTTTTCATGCACTTCATACTCTATAACAGCTTGTTATGTGAAAATAAAGCATTTTTCAAATATACAAACCAGGGCATATAGATAGGCAAGGTATAGTGACTAAGAGGACAGGCACAATGTTTCCATTTTCCAATAACAAACAATTTTCAAACAAATGTTGGCACTAAGCTTTTGCCTCTGTTGATTCACTGAGGTAAGTCAGGCAATATTACATAACCTGGCAGACTAATTATATTATTAATAATAAATAAATAGATGTATTAGATAATGTTACGAGCTTAGGGTTCGTGACAATAAAAACTGCCGATTAAATTACCAAAATTAACACTTTAATTCACTTTACACTAATTAAAACTTAAAAGACACTAATAATTAATCACACTGATTCACTTTATTTCGCTCCGAAGCTTCGCTTGTCTCGCCAAATTCAATACTTCTCCGATCGCGTATTGCAGCGCCTATAAATACACCTTTTTCACCGAAACATCCAGAATATTCAAGTAAATACGCGCGCCAACTGACCAGGCGCCGAAAGTTCTAGTGTAGGGCTACTAGAAAGCTTAGTTCTTCAATTCGATACTAGATGGCAGTGTTGGTTGAAAGACTAGTCATGTCATTTTCTGGAAAGCTCCCCTCGCTCTGTTACCCGACACTAGATGGCGCTAGTGCCAGACGTCAACTTAGGCGCGCAACACTGCCCCCTCCTAAGACATGCTCGTCCCGAGCATTATCGGCCTCATAATAACGCGCCAGGCGATCCACATGGACGATCTTAGGAGTCCCTCTTGCGCCTTTCTGTATCCGGTAGGTTACATCGTTGATCCTGGTCACAATACGGTACGGGCCGTCCCATTTAGCTTGAAGCTTAGGAGATTTCCCTTTGCTGCGGACTGGATTGTGCAACCACACTAGTAAACCTTCGCCGAACCCTTTGTTGTTAATTTTGCGGTCATACCGGGTTTTCATCTTTTCGGACATTTGCTGGCCCGATTGTCTGACGTGCTCATAAATGTCATTCATTTTATTCCGCAAGTCATTTGCATAATCGGTTATACTGCGTGGGGCATCAGGTGGTATCCCGGTGATCAGGTCTGCAGGCAGCCGTAATTCTCTTCCAAAGTTTGCGAAAGCTGGTGTGACTGCTGTACTTTCGTGAACAGTGCTTCGATATGACAACAAAAACGGTTGTATGTGCTTGTCCCAATCTCGTTGTCGATTGTCTCTAACTTTTGCTAGGTACCTCTCCAATGTCTGATTAAATCGTTCTACCATTCCATCAGATTGCGGGTGATAAGAAGTCGTTCTTGTTTTATGAGTACCCATAACTCGGCAAGTTTCCTGGAATATTTGAGACTCAAAATTCTTTCCTTGATCGCTGTGAATCTCTAAAGGTACTCCATAACGACAGAAGACTTCATGAACTAGTTTATCTGCAACTGTTGAAGCTTCTTGATTTGGAATGGCGAAGACTTCTGGCCACTTAGTGAAGTAATCCATCACAACCATGAAATACTTGTTACCGCTTAAACTCTCCGGAAACGGCCCCGCCACGTCAATGGCTATTCTCTCCCATGGTGCACCAACATTGTACAACTTCAATGCTCCTCTACTACGAGTCTGAGGTCCCTTTACAGCCGCACAACTTGTACATTTGCGACACCAGTCCTCGACATCGTTTCGACAGTGGACCCAGTAAAACCGTTCTCGGATCTTCAGTAGAGTTCGTTTAACTCCCAGATAGCCTCCTGAACAATCATTATAGTGCAGCTGTAGAACATTCGGCACTTTAGCTTTAGGGACAACCATTTGCAAACGACAGCTGTCTCCTCGACCATTGTCCCATTTACGGCACAGGACTCCATCCTGAATCAGCAAGCTGTCCCATTGGACCCAATAGCTTCTTGTGGTCGAACTCATCGCTGAGACGTCGCTCCACTTAGGCTTGGTACGAGGGCGGTACTGAAAATTTCGGGAATCAAGGAAGTTACACAACATTACTATTTAAAAATGTGTTTATTGCTTTTCCAAGTATTCTCCGCGAAATTTGACACATTTTCCATACGATGAAACCAATCATTGAAGCAACCATTCCATTCGGAAGTTGGGGCTCCAAAATGGCCGTTTTGTAGGCGTCCAAAGCTTCTTCAGGTGATGAAAATCTCTATCCCCGCAATTTATTCTTTATTTTAGGAAAAGTATAGAAATCATTAGGGCTTAGGTTGGGCCTGTACGGCGGATGGTCTAATAATTCTATGTTTTCTTGCTCTAAAAACTCTTTTGTTGTGTGCGGTGTGACAACTCGCATTGTCGTGATGGAGGATGATGCGGCGGTTTCATTTCTCTTTACGAAGTTCAGAAACAACCTGTGGCAAACAAATGCTAGCATACCATTCTGCATTAACCGTTCTTTGTCCCTTAAGAGGAATAGTCGTAACATGGCCGGTTTTGGAGACAAACATGGCCACCATTTTTTTTGCAACACTCCGTAAACGAACAATTTTTGTTGGCTTTAACTCGTTTTCGAACACCTAAACTCGTGACTGGTTTTTTGTTTCGGGTTCGTACGCGTATATCCAGGATTCGTTACCTGATACGATGTTATATACAGCATTTGAGGATCTTGCGTGGAATCTTTCGAGAGTTCTGACGCACCAAGTAACACGAGCCGCTTTTTGCTCTTCACAGAGCGAATGCGGTATCCATCGGGAAAACACCTTTTTTACACCTAATTGTTCATGCAAGATTATTTGTATTTGACTCATGTCAATGTCTAAAGTTGCCTGAATTTCGCGGTATGTCACATGTCGATCTTCCTCAATCAGCTTACGCACAGCATCAACGTTTTCTTGGGTGACTGCAGTTTTTGGACGACCTTACTGAGCTTGACACGTCCACGTTGAAATTCAGCAAACCAGCGATAAATTGTTGTTTTGGATGGGGCTTCATCACCAAATGCAGAAATCATCCGGTCAACACACTGTTTTTGTGTTAAACCACTTCGAAAGTCATAATAAATCATCGCTCTTGAATTTTCTCGAGTCATTTCCATTTTCTCAACGACTAAACAAGTTTGAGAAAACCTTGTGACAAGACCGAGAATCTTTTTTTAAATGAATAAATGGTATTCGATATTTAAAACCAAGAAGTTTTCAATTAAAAAGATTTTAATATGACAGGAACAGTGGAAATATTCCATTCTCGATACTTTTAGTGCAGCCCTCGTAGCACGGGCCTTCATCCATTCCAGAATCGGCTTGATGTCGGGATCTTCCTGCTGTGCATGTCGTAGGCTGTCCTTCCACTCGTTGCTGAGGTAGTCTGTCCTAAGCATCCTCACGGATACCACTTCCTTACTCTCTTGCCTAGTACAATGTTTGCAATCTTCAGGACCAAGTCTTCTTGACAATGCATCTGCGTTGCCATGAGATTTCCCGCTGCGATGTCTGATAGTAAAGTCGTATTCCTGCTGCTGCTGGGCGGTGATGTTGGCCGCACTACCCTTCTGAGATCGTTCACCTTCCCTTTCTAGGGTTCGCTTAGAGCAGCTGGATCGAAGATGGCCCCTTTCCCCACAGCCATAGCACCTAGGGCTGTATCCTTTATTGTGGTCGCGAACCGTAACTGCTGCAACCTCCCTAGCGTGAGGGGAACGATGATCCTGCCGCCGCCAGGCGATGCCGTTAGCTGCACTA